TTTGACTATCATTTTCTAATCACTTATTGTGTGTGTATTTTGAATAACTATTGAATAGTTTATAGGATTTATAGGATTATATTCATGTTGGGTATGTATGAGTTTGAAAATCCATGCTTTAAACATTTCCATCAATCAATTATTTGTCAAATGTATCATATTCTTGTTATAGAAATCATGTCCAAAATTATACTCTGCAAGAGCGGGAAAATTCGGACCATGTGACTGATAAGATAACATTTGATTTATGAATTGGGAGGAGAAATAATGCAACACCCCGAGCTAAGACAGTGTCTAATTGGTCAAAACACCATTTGGGATGTGGCCAACAACCCGGTTTAAATACTCAGGACATCATCAAATTATGCTTTTAGTCATGTTTTTTAGCTTTTGCTTTTCAGCCACTGCTTTTTAGTCATGGCTACAATATATAATACATTAAAGTTTTCTAGATATCAAAGTGTGTACGTGTGTGTATATACTGAAAAAAGCAGCTTTATAATATACTAGTAGTGTAATGCTAATGCATTTCCAATCGAGCTGAAATACAATTGAAATGTACTTGAAGTACATTAAAACGATGCTTCAAATATACTCTAATTGTAGTTCATGAAGTATTAAAAGGACATTTTAAATGTATTTTAAGAAATACACTTAAATTGCACTAAATATACTTAAAGTGGTTCCAATTTAACAAAATTTCAATATATTAAATATATTACAAATATTTTAAAATCAAACTGAAACATATCTTGAAATACACTTAATATACTTAAAGTTGTTTCAAAATAATACATTGCTTCAAAACTTCAACCAGCCCACAACTCTGCATCTTCAGCCAACGCCCAACTATTGGCTTCCCAAGACGTCACTTCGACGACTACTGAACTTCCGTCCAATCAGCAATCTCGGAAAAACCCCTTTCTTTAACGACGACGACAACAAAGGGAACCCCCTACACAGGCAACGCAAGTACCTCCATATTCTAGCTGAACTGGTGCATTTAATATAAATTTTAACCTCATTGAGGAATTCAATGCGAGGGTTAAGTGATTGATGGTTGTTCAGGTCTATGCAATTGCACATATTGCTGTAAACTTGGGATTTCACATTTTCATTCTCTTAAACTCATTCTTTCCTCACTTTCTCTCTTTCTGCAACTTGTGTGAATGCATGTTTGAGATTAGTTTATATGTCTTAGATTTATCTAATAAAGCCTTATTTATATTGAAAATAGAAGTATCTTGTGTTTTGTGGTCAAAACACCATTTGGGATGTGGCCAACAACCCGGTTTAAATACTCAGGACATCATCAAATTATGCTTTTAGTCATGTTTTTTAGCTTTTGCTTTTCAGCCACTGCTTTTTAGTCATGGCTTTTTGCCATTACTGTTGCGTTCTTTGAGCGCCGTTCCAGCGTGCTTTGGCCACTGCTACTTAGCTACGATGAGAAGAAAACCATCTAGTCTCGTTACTTCTATTCTTCTAC